CTGCGTGCCCCGCGGCGCCGGCGAACAGGCGGCCACGCGGACTCGCCGGCGGGGACGGGGTTCTGGGCCGCACTGCGCATGCGCCCGGGCGGGCCGGCGGCGGCGGCGGCGGCGGCGGCGGCGCAGGTTCCCGGCCGCGCGGCGCTGAGCAGTGATTGTCCTGCTCGCGGGCGGCGAGGCCGCGTGGGGCGCGGCTTCCCGGCGGCTGTGCCGCGGCACCCGGGCCGAGGGGCGTCCGGGCCGATGAGATCGCCGCTGCCCCGCGCCCTGTAGAGGTTTCGAGGCGGAGAGAGAAGCACCGGGCCGGTTCCGAACCCTCCGGTCGGACCGCCTGTGCGGGGGAACTGAACCCGCACGCGGGGCCGGACCGTGGAACGGCGAGGCCGCGGAGAGGTGAGTCCCGCGGGGCCGGGCGGGTCTGCAGGAAGGGGAGGTGTGTCTCCCCCCCGCCCCCCCGCCCCAGGCCGCGGGGGTGGGATTCCCAGGGTAGGATGATGCCGAGATGGGCTGGGGAGTCCAACCGAGGACTTTCTGGGGAGGTATGGATGTGTATTAAAAATAAGAAGCAAAACCCTTAGAAAGAGTGGTCTGTCCTCCTTCCCCTTTCTCTCCACGGGCCTCTCCCCCTGCCCTTTCTTTGTGCTTTTTGCCAGCAGCGCTCGCGGACTTGCAGGGAAGGAGGTCCGCCCGCGGTCCTCCGCCGCCGCCTGGAGCATCCTCGCGGGAGAAAGGCGCGGAGTTACCACCCCTCCCTCCTCCCCAGTGCTTCCGCCTGTGCTTGTCCCAGCCCATCCCGCCCCTGGCCTGTCCCTCCTGCGAATGATTTCTGAATGGTTCTAGTTTGCCTATTAAAACTTCAGGGCGAAAGATGGTTCTTGCAGGAGCCCATCCCGATGGTACTTGGGTACTTCCATTGTCACTGCTCCCCGCGTGATCAGCCTCCGGGCAGCACCGCCCACCTTGTTTGGAAACAAGCGCTTCCGTGTACCCGTTCGTGTAGTTCCCCCAGGCACCCCGTGAGTGGGTATCGCCAGCTTTCCCTGGTGCGAGGGGAAGCAGCTGAAAGTGGTAAAAAAAAGAAAGCTAGGTTGCCCCAGGCCTTTGCTCTCTCTGCTGCAGAGTTTGGTGACGACTGGTTTCCTTGAGATATCAGTTTATCCGCATCTATGGACTTGTAGCTTCCTCGGCTTCACTGAATTCTGCTTTTCAGGGCTCAGCTCGATTTCGGTCTTCAAACATCCTTGTATGGATGGATGAGTGATGATGTGTGATGAAATGAAGTTGAACTTGCTTAAGGAGCCATTGTTAAGCCACCATTCTAAAGCATGGGGTCAGTCTATAGGTGCTGACCTGAGACGATGTCATTTTTGAATAAGTGTGGTTTAATTACACACCTCCCGAGGCATACTTGGGTGACTTTGAAGAGTGCTGTTGGGGAAAGAAGTCTTAAATTGATTTGTATATGGTTTAAGAAAAATTTTAACTGGGAATAATTCTGAGATTGCTGTATCTTCTCCTTTTGATGTTGAATAATGTTTTATGAAATGACGGTGGTAGAGGTAAGTTTTGTTTTAAATCGTTGTTCTCAACACAGTAAGGAGTTGCCAGTATAGTTGTGGCCACATGGACCTCTCCAGTGCCTCAGTTAATATTGCTTTTGTAGTGCTAATTACCGAGTCTTAACACTCAACAGTTCTCCGGTTATTTCTCTTCTTTTGGTAATGCCTGGGTAGAGCCTAGGACTCGGCACTGATCACACTACATGATGTTCTGTAGACCTTGATGGTTTGATTTAGACATCAGTGTTCAGCAGGAGATTTTTTTAATTCAAATTATTACAGAAATGAGGACAAAGTTTCTTTTCTCTGTCTTCTCTAGGAAGGTGCAATGGCGAGGAGTTTATCCATAATCTTCATCCTGACCTTCACTCTGTCAGTCACAAATCTCCTTCATGAAGTAGAACCGGCAACTGCCCTCCCTCAGGCCACTGAGAAAATCCCAAACTGGGAATCCGGCATTGATGTGGACTTGGCAGTTACCGCCCAGCGGCATCATCTGCAGCAGCTTTTCCATCGCTATGGAGAAAATAACTCTTTGTCAGTGGAAGGGTTCAGAAAGTTACTTCAGAACATAGGCATAGATAAGATTAAAAGAGTTCATTTACACCATGACCATGACCATGACCATGAGCATCACTCCGACCATGAGCATCACGCCGACCATGACCATCATTCCGACCATGACCATCACTCTGACCACGAGCATCACTCTCACCGTAATCATGCTGCTTCCAGTAAAAATAATCGGAAAGCTCTTTGCCCAGACCATGACTCCGATAGTCCCAGTAAAGATACTAGGAACAACCAGGGGAAAGGATCTCGCCGATCAGAACATGCCAACAGCAGAAGGAATGTTGTAATCAAGGATGGTGTTGGTGCTAGTGAAGTGACCTCAACTGTGTATAATGCTGTCTCTGAAGGAACTCACTCTCTTGAGACAATAGAAACTCCAAAACCTGGAAAGCTCCCTAAAGCTGTGAGCAGCTCCACTCCCCCCAGTATTACAGAAAAGAGCCGGCTGAGCCGGCCCACCAGGAGGAAAACTAATGAGTCTGTGAGTGAGCCCAGAAAGGAGTTTATGTATTCCAGAAACACAAATGCAAACACTCAGGAGGTAAGATGAAGGCTGTTCTTACTTTAATCAATATGCCTGCTTGTCTGTTCTGTCATTGCCATTCTATCTCTAGTTGTAAGGAGTTTAGAGTAAAAATAAAATGGTGAAGTTACTGAAAAGAAAATTTCTCAGCAAGGCACTTGGCCCAAAGTGTTCCTACCATGTTGTAATCATTTCTGATTTAAAAAAGAAAAGAAGAAGAAAAAAAACAAAAAACTTGGAGGATAGAAAGAATAGAGCTGCCTTCTAAAACTTTTTTAAAATATATTTTTATTGCTTTTAGAAAGGGAGAGAGAGAGAAATATCAATGATGAGAGAGAATTACTGATCAGCTGCCTTCTGTTCACCCCACACTGGGCATGTGTCCTGACCAGGAATTGAGCCGTGACCTTTTGGTTGATGCTCAATCACTGAGCCATGCCAGCTGGGCTAAAACTGTTTTCTATATAGAATTTAAAATAAGTATAAAAAGCAGGTATCAAAGTTATTTTTGGAGAAAGTTTTTAAAGGCGAGTATTATTAATAAAAAGTAGAAAATGGGAGGTTGAAAATGCGGGGGTTAGAACCCATGTTTTAGGGAAAGGCGTGGTTGAAGGGGTTGCAGAACGCAAGAACCTTAATACCTCCTTGCAGATGGATTGTAATTTGTGGAGTCATTGGAACTGCTGCCAAGAACGACGTACTGGACAAGTGAATGCCTGGGCAATGAAGTTCTGATTTCATGTGTTTTTTCTAAGATTAGACTTTTCTAGATTAGACTTTTAGGCTGTATTCAGTTTGCCTTAACTGAAGGATGTTAAGAACAGGGAGTTAGTTGATATATGTTAATAAGCAAAACTTAAGTACTTCATGCAAGCCATCATGTGACCTGTTCTAATTCTGGGATAATATTACTAATGGTCATTGCCATAGTGACACTGGTAATAAAGTGTGTTCTGTGTAGTATTAACCAAGAATTGGTGGAATTTAAAATAATTTGCAGATGATGAGAAACAGTTGCTACCACCAATTCTGGGGGAATAGAAGGAGCTTAGGTTACTCAACAGATTCTCTTCAAACTAGCCAACTCATTAAATTGTTGAAACAGCTGCCTGCCGGTACAGGTTTGCTTTATTACCAACTTTACCCTGTGTGAGCGTAATGTACATACTTTAATATGCTCTCGTAGAGCATTATTTTGCCAAGAATGTAGTCAGAACTGAACTAAGTTTTACAAGTATGGTGACTGTGGTTAGAATGACGTGTTTTGGGCTTGTTTAGGCCAGGTAGGGTAGCGTTGGTACTAAAATAACATATGTGTCAATCTCTAATGACCCCCATCTCGAAATTAAAGCTCATTTCCTTAATAGGTTTATACAGTGAGTTAACAGGCTTGTGAATGTTCATTTATTCTCAAGCTTATTTCACTTAAGGCTTTGTCCCTAGGCGACTAGTGGTGTAACTTTCCACCTAGAAGTAAGCAGAGAGGTGAGATAACACTATTATGACATACTATCTCCAGGTAGTTTGAGAAATTCCAAAGTACTTAAAACAGAAGCTGATTTTAATCAATGTTAACTTAAAATTAAGAAGCAGCTTCAGTAAGGAACGGGTGTTGTGTGATCAAACAACTTTTTTGGATTATCTAATGGGAATGCCTTTTGGTGCTTTTCACTGCTTTGTTTTCTTTAGTGTTTCAATGCATCAAAGCTGCTCACATCACATGGCATGGGCACCCAGGTTCCGCTGAATGCAACGGAGTTCAACTACCTCTGCCCAGCCATCATCAATCAAATTGATGCTAGATCGTGTCTGATTCATACAACGAGTGAAAAGAAAGCTGAAGTCCCTCCAAAGACCTATTCTTTACAAATAGGTAGAATTGAGATTTTTTTATGTAAAAACAACTTCCAGTAGATACATTTATGTTGTAGTGTTCTTTATATTTTCAAAAACCTATTCATTTTTAGCATAATTTCAAATATACCATCTTTTTTAAAATATATCTTTATTGAAAGTCTTACAGATGTCCCCCCCCTTTTTTTCCCCCCATTGATCCCCTCCACCCTGCACCCAACCCTCAAAGGCCTGCACCACACTGTTGTCTGTGCCCATGAGCTATGCATATAAATCCCTGGGTTATCCTCTCCTCACCCCACCACTCCTGCCGTCCTTCTTAGATTCCTCAGTCTGCTCCCTGCTTCCATGTCTCTGGATCTATTTTATTCACCAGTTTATTTTGTTCATTAGATTCCACATGAGTGAGATCATTCTGCCTTAAGCAAGCATGTTAGCTTGACCCTTAAAAAAACTTAGGTTGTAACTTGCCTTATTTTTTTTTTTTTTTTTAACACCTCTTCACAGATTGAAGCAAAACAATTCAACAGCTGCTGCTTCACCCAAAAGCGGTGTTTTTACTTGCCCTTTTTTGACAGCTCAGTGGGTCATTAGCAAAAGTGCTTTTAAAAGGGGTACTTGCCATATCTTAAAAAAAAAAAAAAAAGATAAATGAGTAAAACATAGGTTGTAATTTGCCTGAGATCATGAAGTGTCAAGGGTTATCTGAAATCTGGGCTTTTTATATTGTCACCCTGATTGGGAGAAGGGTCAGAGTTAATCTCTGCTTTTTAGGAATCTAATTCTGGTCTGTTATTTATTTTTTTAATATATCTTTTTATTGATTTCAGAGATGAAGAGAAAGGGAGAGAAATATCAATGATGAGGGGGAAATCATTGATTGGCTGCCTCCTGCACACCCCCTATTGGGGATTGAGCCTGCAACCAAGGTACATGCTCTTGACTGGAATCGAACCTACCAATCTTCTGTCCACAGTCTGACACTCTATCCATTGAGCCAACCTGGCCAGGGCTCTGGTCTGTTATTAATAAATCAAACCAGGATAAGCTGTGCTATAGTGTAGAGCAGGATTGGGGAACCTATTTTCTGACAGGGCCATTTGGGTATTTATAAATCATTCACTGGCCATACAGAGTTATAACTTAAAAATTAGCCTGCTAGTAATACATCTACACAATGGAATACTACTCTGCTGTAAAAAAGAAGGAACTCTTACCTTTCATAACATCACTGGCAGACATGGAGAGAGTTATGCTAAGCGAAATAAGCCAGTCGGAGAAAGATAAATATCACATGATCTCACTCATTTGTGGAATATAATGAACAACATAAACTGGTGAACAAAAATAGATCCAGAGCCAGAAAAGCATTAAACCATTAAATAGACCATCAAACCTCAAAGGGAAGGTGGGGGTGGGGGAGGTCAGGGCATGTGTGGGGCGTGGGAGTGGCCAGGAGAGGTCAATGAGGGGAAAAGGAGACACATGTAATACTTCAATCAATAAAGAATAAAAAAAAGCCCTAACCAGTTTGGCTCAGTGGATAGAGCATTGGCCTGCAGACTGAAGGGTCCCAGGTTCGATCAAGGGCATGTGCCTTGGTTATGAGCACAGCCCCAGTAGGGGGTGAGCAGGAGGCAGCTGATGGATGTTTTTCTCTGATAGATGTTTCTAACTCTCTATCCCTTTCCCTTCCTCTCTAATAAAGCAATAAAATACATATTTTTTAAAGAATTTAAAAAATTAACTTGCTACGTTTGGTCCTTTAACTCACCTTTAGCCTTGGCAGGACTAGACCAAATGATTTCACAAGCCTTATACAGCCTGCGGGCCGGATGTTCTAGAGACGGTCCTCACCTCTGGTGGCCTTATAAAGTCTGGTGGGCATTCCTTACCTCTGGCCAGACCTTATAAGGCTTGGCTGTAAGTTCCTCACCCCTGACTAGAATTTTCAGTGCTCAAAAACTATAATGAAGCCGAAACCGGTTTGGCTCAGTGGATAGAGCGTCGGCCTACCAACTGAAAGGTCCCGGGTTCGATTCCGCCGGTCAAGGGCATGTACCTTGGTTGCGGGCACATCCCCAGTAGGGGGTATGCAAGAGGCAGCTGATAGATGTTTCTCTCTCATGGATGTTTCTAACTCTCTATATCCCTCTCTCTTCCTCTGTGTAAAAAATCAATAAAATATATTTTAAAAAAAAACTATAATGAAGAAATAGTTGCTTTGTTTACTGAGAAAATAATTCTCTGTTTCCTTTTTTTTCTTTTTTCCCTTTTTCTCCTTTAACATATTCCTCTTCTCTTTCATAATTTAGGTGTTACAGGAGTCTGAAAGCTCAGTTTCCAAATGAGCTAGAATTCATCCTTGTTTATCATTTCTTTCCATTTCTTTGCCTTTTCCCTTCTGTCACTACCAGCTGAAGGATTTTCCTTTAGGTTATGCTCTTTACCTAGAGAGTTTACTCACATTGTTCATTTGAGCCCAATTGTTGGTTGTTGAGTTTGTATTTCTTTAAGATTGCCTACGTTTACAAGTTACTTTATGCTACTCCAAAGTCTCTCTTTTAAAGTTTATCAATTGTATGTTTTTTACCTTTGCTCTTTTCTTTGACAGCCTGGGTTGGTGGCTTTATAGCCATTTCCATCATCAGTTTCCTGTCTTTGCTGGGTGTTATCTTAGTGCCTCTCATGAATCGGGTGTTTTTTAAGTTTCTCCTGAGTTTCCTTGTGGCATTGGCTGTTGGGACATTGAGTGGTGATGCTTTTTTACACCTTCTTCCACATGTAAGTATGATATTGTATTATTCAGCATTGAAAATACACATACATTTTTTTTTATTTGTACTAGAATTTTTTGTATTGATATTTATAAAGGTAAGAAATTTGGTTTAGAGGAGTTGATTTTAAAATATATTTGGTAATCAAAAGCCGCATTTTGGGGCTTGATCTTTTTATTATTGATTTGAGAGAGAAGCAGAGACAGAGACATCAATGTAAGGGGAACATTGATTGGCTGTCTCCTGTACAAGCCCTGACCGGGTATCGAACCCACAACGTTTTGGTGTATGTGATAATTTTCCAACCAACTAAGCACACCAGCCAGGGCTGTGCTTGATCTTATTACATTGTGGGCAGTTTTTACTTTCCTTTATAAAGACTAATTTAATTTTGGGGGATCCAGACAGATTCTATTGATGCTGGTATTATGACAGTCTGCGACAGTGTGAATTGTCTGCTTACATATTAGTGTAATTGCCACAACAATAAAAAATGTGGCTGTCTACCCAAGAAAATTGAGGGTTTTTCTTCAGAGTTGAATTAATGTGTATATTTACAGATTTTCACTTGGTGACATGAGTGAATTCTTAAGTAAAGCAAGTTTGGTAAAGTGAGTTTACTTTTCCATTAAATATTTGGGATAGGTGTGCAGGTAGAAAATACTTGGATCTCATTTTTTATTTTTCCCTTGGAGATTTGCAGGTAAGTGTGAGGTGGGGGGATTATTTCTAGAGTTCTCATCATGCTTTCCCCAATAGTGAAAGGAAGCTGTTTTGCTGTGACAAATTCCCTGACCATCAAAGGGCAGGTGTTCAGGAATACTTGCTGCACAGAGTGACATGTATTAGGTCTAGTAATAATTAATGTCGTTTTCTAATACTTTTTTAAATCGAATTTATTTAAACAATACAACAAAATTTAATCAACAATATAGTTGCCGTTGTTTTCTACTACTTGTGCCCAACGCTCAGGAAGCATTTTAATCCCTCTGCTGTAAAATTCTTGTGATTTTGATGCAAAAAATTCGGTCAATGCATTTTTGAGGCATTCTTCGTTATTAAATTTTTTTCCAAGAAGAAAGTTTTGCAAAGAACGAAACAAATGGTAATTGGAAGGGGCAATATCAGGAGAATATGCAGGTTGAGGGAGAACTTCGCATTCCAACTGGCGCAGTTTTTCAGCAGTGATTCTTGCAGTATGTGGTCGTGTGTTATCGTGAAGAATTACGCCCTTCCAATTTTTTAGCGCGGGTTCTTTTTCTCTTAAAGCTTGGGCTAACCTTTCCAATTGGGCACTATACACTGCACTTGCAATGGTTTGGTTAGATGGTAAAAGTTCATAATGAAGAATTCCTTTAAAATTCCACCAAACACACAACATCACTTTTTCCGCATGCAAGTCAGGTTTTGGCATGGGCTGCAGAGCCTCATTTTTGTCCAACCATTGAGGCCGCCTTTTCAAATTAACATACACTACCCATTGTTCATCTCCGGTAACAATTTGCTCTAAAAACGGCAAACGGTTTTGACGAGAGAGGAGCGAACTGCAAATTGTGACTCTTTGATTATGGTTGTTGTCGGTCAACTCATGAGGAACCCAGTTTCCAAACTTTTGGACTTTGCCAACTGCATGCAATTGATTGGAAATTGTTTTTTGTGAACAATTTAAAGTTGTCGCAAGCTCTTGTTGGGTAATTTGAGGATTTTGCACCAAAAGAGCTTGAAGAGCTTCTTGATCAAAATTGGACACACGGTCTCGACCACTCTTGTCATCTAACGAAAAATTTCCCTCGCGAAATTTCTCAAACCAACGCTGGCATTTTCTGGCGCTAACTGCATCTTCACCAAGAGCACTACAGATGTTTTTTGCAGCCTCACTTGCTTTTCTTCCTAATTGGAACTCGTAAAGCATGCAGTGCCGAATATGCTCTTCATCCGCCATCTTCTTAGCCCTAGTTTTGCAACAAAAACCAAACCAAACACAAACTTTTTCAAGCAAAACTTGTTAATTGCACTTCACACGTTCTGTAGATACCACGTGTTTGAAGGTTATGTCAATACAAGTCAACGCCAAGCAAGATTTTAAACGAATGTTTAAAAACGACATTAATTATTACTAGATCGATACAGGGGGTGTATCCTGTAACCCCACCACCAACCCTAGTTTCTCCTCTGTGTATGTGCCACACTCAACTTCCTAACATGAAGTAACATAGTCTCTGCTGCACCCTGAAGGCCACTGGCCAGTGACCCTGGATCAGGTTCTTGCCAGAGCTCATTACATAGATTGGGCTTCTTGTAAGCACATGGATGACAGTGGAATGAGCCTTTTAGCAAGGAGTGGAAGCAGTAATCTCTACAGATCTAATAAGTCCAGCAGTTCCCTGTTACTTAATGTTCTAAATTTCCCAAAGTATCCTTTTAATTACCTAATTCTGAATTATTTCAAATTGGACCTTAGGCAGTTTTTCTGACGTGTGAAACTAATGAATTTATAAAATGTATGGTGTTTTGCTTTTAGTCTCATGCAAGTCACCACCATAGTCACAGCCATGAGGAAACAACAATGGAGATGAAGAGAGGGCCACTGTTCAGTTATCTGTCTTCTCAAAACATAGAAGAAAGTACCTATTTTGATTCCACATGGAAGGGTCTCACAGCTCTGGGAGGATTGTATCTCATGTTTCTTGTTGAACATGTACTCACATTGATCAAGCAATTTAAAGATAAGAAGAAAAAGGTAAGGAAAAGTATATTAAGTACTGTACTTACTATGCATCAAACATTTATTTAGAGTAGTATTCTAACTAGACTGTTAGCAGAGCTTGTCCTGGGCAT